GTCCACTTCCCTAATGATGAGAGCCTTGGAAACCCTATGGGCAGTTCTGCTCTGTTCTGTAGGGTCACCGTGAGTTGGCACCAACTAGGTGGTGAGGGGCTTATTTTTCAGTTTTGGTTTAGGGGAGGGCAGGAGGGGGAGGGGAGGAGGTTTAGCTGTGGAGTGTGGAGTTTACAGTGAGGCGGTGGATTAGCAACAAAGGTTGAACATTATTGTGATGGCAAAGGTTTTGTTGCGTCTGTTTTCACTGTAATTCAAACAAGACGCAATGATTCGTCCATTGAACTAATAAGCCCTGAGGACCTACTCGGTGTCGGGCCGTTTCCCAGTGCTGGGAACATAGCAGTGAGCCAAACAGCTCAAAACCCCTGGCGCTTACCTGGAACCAGTCTATTGCCATTACCGCACAACTTGCTTTTTTAAAACATGCAAACCAAGAATTCCTTCATTCCTTCCAATTCAGAGTTGTTAGAGAGCAGCGTCAGGGGGTCGGCTTGAAGTAAAGGTAACAGGTGCGTTGAGGGCTAGAGACGGCCCAGACCAGGAAGGCGTCCACATGCACGGGGTATAAATGGCCACCCCACCGACCGTGTGGAGGAAAGCGTTTATGCACAGGTGGTGCAGGACCTGACAGCTAGGAACTCTTATTGACTCAAAGACCACCAGGGGAGTCCAAGTGGGGCCATCTAGAGGTGAGATTGAGCAGCGATAGGTGGTCACACACACTTGGGGTGACATGATGGGTAAAGACACAGTTTACTGGTTCAAGGTGTATCACCGGATGGTCGCCGGGCAGTGGCAGGACAGGTTTTTCTGGTGCCCCGCTAGGAAAATTGCTTCCTTGATCACGTCTGTCTCTGAGGGTCTATTGCAAAGATTTGCCCATAATGCTGTGTGTCCAGACTCCTCCGGTATCCGCCCTGTAACTGTTGGACCGTAAAAGGAAAGAGCTTGCGCGACCTCGGGGGAAGAATGCCGCCTTTCCTTTAAACGTGTGGGTCAGCTTCAAGCCTAGCTCAGCGTCCAGGTTAGGGGACCACTGTGAGAAAGGCAGGCTTAAAAATCACCCTGGGCGCTAGACGCACGTCAGGACAGTCAGTGCTGAGTTCAGCTCCGCTTTCAGACTGCTCTGTCCGTACCCAGGGGCCTCTGGTTTTAAGCTCACTTACAATTCAGATGAATCTGACTCTGTCAATGACTGGGGGTGGACGACTGTCGTGATTGCGTACTGTACTGTGATAAGGGAGCCGTGGTGGCACGGTGGCTCGAGCACTCAGCTGCTCCCTGAAAGACGAGTGCTCTGTGGGAAAAAGATGTGGCAGTTGGTGCCCATAAACATTCGCAGTCTCAGAAACCCACAAGGGGCACTTCTACCCTGCCCTTTAGGGTGGCGATGAGTTGAAATCCCTCAACAGTGGGTGTGATGTGTTGGTCTTTGTCATTTTTTTATACTATGATGCAGGAGCCTTGGCCACACAGTGATTCAGCATGGGGCTGGCCCTGGTGGTGCCCTGCTTACGCGTTGGGCTGCGATCCGCATGGTCGGTCGTTCGAAACCACCAGCAGCTCCTCGGGAGAAAGACTGGGCTTTCTACTCCTGCCAACAGGTACCATCTCGGAGAGCGGCAGCGGGTTGCTCTGGGCAGCAGAGACTCATGGCAGTGAGCTTGGTTTTGCTCACTGGAAGGACAGTGGCTCTCGCCCTCCCCGGGAGAAAAGTGTGGCAGTGGGCTTCTGTAAAGATGACAGCCCGGGAAACCCTGTGGGCAGTTCTCCTGGGCTCTGTGGGGTTGCTGTGGCCAAATGGACTCCATGTCTACAAGCCTGGGGTTTGCGCTTGGTTGGTTACATCGTGCTGAAAGCAGAGGTTATTCGTTTGGGCAGGATGGGGTGGGGGGAGGGAGGGGGGTTGCTGGCATCATTGGTGACAAAGCCTCAGAGAATGTGGCAGCTTTGAAGGGTCTCCTCCAGGGAAATCCACAGAGAATTTCCCATAAAACAGTGCAGAGGCTTTGGGAACGCTTCAAAGGCCCTATGTGAGCCCCAGAAGGCAAAGCCTTAAGGAGAGGCTCTCATCCCAACCCCCTTGTAGCTTGCATGGA